AGAACTAAAACTTTGCAGAGCAGAGCTGCTGAGCTGCAGTTCTTACACCAAAACTTTCCCTCTGACATTAACTACTTCAGAAAGTAGCATGGGATCCTATCCAGCAACCCCAGTATTCAGCAAAATGGAAAGACACTAAACCACAAATACACTATTCTCTGCAATACACCAAGGGGGAAACATCTAGCATTTCTGCCCTGCTTCCACATAAGAGTTTGATGGATTCTCAAGACAAGACACATTGGTTTATTACCATTTACACCAGCACTGCAGGATCCCAGAGCCATCGTGCCTCTGGAATTGAGAACATCCATACTTTTACTGCACACTGATGGCACATCCAACTCTTCCACCAATTCAAACAGTAGAAACACAGTGGAACAAACTCACTGTTTCATATACAGTAACACAAATGAAAGGCAGGAAAATTTTTTACAACAAAAGACACGGTCACTAACAGGTATGTCTTCACTTGTTATAAGAAACTCAAAACCACTATTGTCACGTACAGGTAAGAACAGCAAAGTAAAAAAAAAACTTGTATTCTAATTTTCTCATTCATATCTCTTCTCACGAAAGTGTGCATTTTATTATATTTAAATTTGCTCAATTCAAAAACGCATTCAGCTCTTACGAATTTCTTAGATATGCACTGCTTCTTTCACATTAAGAAATAACGTAGCTTAACTCATTTCGTGTACAGCAATTTTCACTGCATTGAGTCAGAGAGAGACACGAACTGGAGCCAAACACACAGCGGTGCATCAGAAAGGTGAACGGTTTACTGGCACCTAGACAGAAAGGACAGACAGAGAACTATGCCTGAGATATTGCATGTTCCAGTTAGACTGAAGTCACTACATTTTACAACAATTAAACGCGAGACAAACACGACTTGTCAGAACCAACAAAACGAGCATATCTGGAGACAATCTTTTAAAAGATGACGTGAGGCTTATCAAACCACATTATGATTTTGCAGACCAAGCAGAGTTTTACAGGGTCAGTTCCTGGGTGAGAGACAGTTAAACAAAATCCACAATTAGCAATAAGTTATTCAAACCATTCAGTGAGCTTTCTTCAGAATTCACCTAATGGCATGACATTCCTAGGTGCAACGTATGTTGAAATAAGTGTATTCCAAAGTATGTTTTGCTAGCTTTTGTATTCCTTAGCATACCTAAGCATGCAGCTCCTGCCTCTCCTAACTTGTTCTTGATCTCAAAGGCGAACAACACTTTCCACTCATTTACCTTGACTGTATAATGAAGGGCTCCCATTTACAAATAAAACAGCTGCCACATATCACCCACCTCAGTAAGAACCTCATAAATAGCTCACTCTTATACACAAACACACGTACTAGCATTACTTACAAAGCACGGTGCCTTACATTTGCTTTTAAATTGTTTGTTTTTTAAGCAGCTTGTTAAACTAGACAAAAATCTCTTGTTAGTTTAGACATTGTGTCTCTCTCTCACTTTATGTACTTGATCACACAACTAGTGTGGAAAGCAAGCGTCTCCCTGTCGACTGACATGCCTTGGAAGTTATCTCACAGTCAGAACACTGACAGCTCCATAACCCAGCCCTACAGAATGGCAGGTCTGCCAGCAAGCACAGGAGGAGAAAAAACAAAAACAAAAACAAACAATCAAGCACTAAAAAATCCACAACACAACAAGGAACAACCAGATGCTGCTGCTAAGAGGCTTTTCATTCAGTTAATACAACACCACAACATAAGTTATATCTTTTCACTGAGGTAATAGAAGTGCGTCCGAATATAAAACCAGAAACCAGATGAAAAAAAAAAATACATTGTTCTACTTCCCACCATCTTCTTGTTTGTGTTTTACCATGAAACAGGCACTAGCAAACATCCAGGCTTATTTACACAAGTACTGTCCAAGTAAAACATTATCTTCCTCTGCTGAGATGATTTGGCAGTGCAAAAAATATCAGTCAAGTGACATCTCTCAACAGTCAAGTTACTCTGTGCTTTGTTCTATTTCATGTTATTAGCTTTACTTCTACCTCCCTGGACCACCCTAAGGGATTTCTCTTCACTGTGTTCTTCAAATACTTGCAGATAATCATATCTCCCACTTAGAAATCATTTAGCCAAGTTTCATGCATTTCTTTTCATCTTCTTCCCCCCATAAATCAATCCCTTCAACCTCTTCAGGATTCTTGCTGCTCTTCCCTGAACTTCTTCCAAACTGCTGACATCCTTCAGAGACTGAGGAACTTCCAGTTGCATGCTGTACTCTAGATGTGCTTTTTGTGCTCTGCGCAAAGATAATTAAGCCTTTTCAAGAAATATTAATGCCTCAACTCTGGAATAAGCCTAAATCAGATTTCATAACACTTTAATAGTACAAATAGCAATTATCCCCATTTTACAGAAAGGCAAAGAAGTATCTTAATCACTGCTGCACACAAGCGGTGCCAGAATAAGAAACAGAGCTGCGCTCTGCCATTCCCAGCTGTGAGCCCTGCCAAGTTTCAGCCCACAGATGACGTAACACAGCGTTCCCAAGCTCTGACCCACAAGCAAACGAGCCGTACCCAAGGGAAAAGGAACAACACCAAGGGTCAACACAGGAGTGGGCACCAATGGGACCAGAGCAGCACCCCAAGGTGCCATGCTGTACTGCCACCTCAAGCCAACAGGGCACAGCTTTCTGATGCATCTACCTGACTTTGATTGCTTTGTTTCTAAAAGCAGCCCCCAGCTGCCACGAGGTTAACTCCCTGAACAAGCTATTCAATTCCAGAGGTTAAGGCTAGTTTTAAAGACAACAAGACGGACCAGACCGCGGCAATTCAAGGCAGTTTCCAACTTGCACGTTTCTTTCCCTTCCCTCCCACTCCCTGACGCATTTGAGAAAGGACTGCAGAGAAATAACTTCAGAACAACTGAAAGGAGCTCTTCACAAAAGCAATGTGTAACAGACTCTATGAAGGGAGGCACAGCCGAAGGATGAGGGAGAGGGAAGAACTGGACCAGTTAAATTTAATAAAAGACTCAAAAACCCACAAACAGGATGCAGACACATTAAAAAAGCAACACTGACCTAACAATGGAATGTGAACTGCAGTTGACTTAAACAGCATCACAGCAACAGCCCTCCCCCTACACACATCCCTGTAACTCTTAAAGAAACAGTTATTTAAACCCTTCCAAATTTTGTTTTCTTCTGCTACACACTTTCAGCTTGAACTCATATTATCTTATTGCCTCTTCTTTCCAGATAGCAAAGTACCCATATTTGACTCAAGCTGCAGAAAAGCAAGCTAAGTTGTATTATTCTGCCCATCTTACTGAGGTGTTAATTCTAGCATTCTGTCTACACATCAATGGTTTGTTGTTAAATGCCAGAAAAGTACAACCATTGTTAGATATGAAGACCTTGGTGAAAGGTATCGTTTCTTCCTACTCAATAGGCGGAGCAAAATATTGTAATGCTGTGTACAATCTTCTTAACATGACTGCAGATTTGCAGCTCCAGTTCCTGCTCACCATCCACAAAGATGACAGCCACAAAAGTCCTTTTTAGGCTTCTCCCTTTCTCACGAAGAACAGTTTCACCAAAATATGAAAACTCCACTGTACATGGCATCCTCCCATTGTTCTTCTCTTTCACCACATTTATGTCTTCAGGGGAGAAAAGCTACTAAGAACACCACTACGTTTTTTAAACAAAAACTTCAGCTTGAACCCCTGTCAGTGTTAAGGTCACTTGCACATCATCTCACCACCTGCCTGAAAGTAGGAAGCTCAATGAATGCTTAAATGCTTTTCTATATTACAAAACCCAAAACATACATTTGCTAGGCATAGCCTCTTTCTTTAAACATGCAGCGTGCCTGTTAATTAGGCTTACAAAACTATTTGGAAAGTCTAGCACTTGGTGACAAAACTACTACTATAGATAGGTTAGAAAACAGGAGCCTTCACCTAGTCAGAAATCCTGATTTCCAAGGCAAAAAAAGGAAATTTGCTGGGAGTCAAAATTAGGGCATTTGCATCAATCTGAAGTTAAACTTAAAATATTCCGTCTTTAGAAAGAAATCAGTTTTCTCTACAGATCAATTGTTATGTGACTGTTTGGTGCCACAGAACATCACAATTTCTTTTTTCCAGTTGTACAACAGAATAATTTTGTCCATCTCTCTAAAAAGGGTGGTAGATTAACAGTGATGAAGGGCTGCAAATTTGAGAGAAATTAAGTATTGCTAGTATATTTAAAACCATATCCCATGATTTGAGTTAAACGCAGCACCTATTATTACCTGTTGAAAAGGCTTGGAGCCATTTTTTCTACTAAGAAATGACACTTAAACGCCAAATGAAACCCATCATTTCTGACGCTCTAAGGTAAGGAGGCACAAATCCTTGCTGCAACTCACCAAGTATGAAAAAATACAGTACTATATAATATCATAAAACTAGATGCAATAAAAAAAACCTCAAGATCTCTAAAAACTCATTTATCAAAGTGCTTGTAGTTTTTGCTTGAAGGGAAGATGGATAATAACATGCAGAATGAAGATGAGTTAAGGAACTTGAGTCCAGTACACTCTATTTATTTAATAAGTATCTACAGGTAAAAATGACTGCAGGTTTGTTTTCCCTTATTTGCTCAGAAGGGCTGTGGAGAAAATTATACAAAATATTAAAGAGAAGAGAGATTTCCAAAATCCATTTGGGGCAGAGCACAATTTCCATGTTACTGACACTTAAAGAAGTAATTTTGAGACCTGAGTTTATTCATACGCAGACGTGCCTGCTGGCCATTGAGTCTCATAACACAAGTCATAGCCCCCAGCACTTAATTAGAGGTGGTAAAATCCACCAAATAAACAGTGATCCAGCTGGTTTGGAGATGATGGCACAAAATTTCAAGGAACTATTGGAGACATTCAAGCTTACAATATGGAAAAATCCTCTATACTTGACATAGATTAGAGCATATCAGTTAATGAGCACCTACCTGGAATTCGGATTTTAAATTTACCACTCTGTCCAAAACCTCCATCTATTATTCCTTCTTCTCCTGTAGATAATTTGACTTTTAAACCCACAAAAATCTGGATGTTTGTTTCCTTTTTAAACAACGAACGGCCAATCACGCTGTAATCATCAATCACCTGCAAAAGAAAAGGGCATTATGAATTTACAATCTGAAGTGACAAGAAAAATTAACATATGAGATACACTGGTGACTTCCATTGCCCTGCCCTTGGAAAACCATTTACCCCCAGATGAATAAAAAACTCTAGATGACTCATCTAAACTGCTGAGTTTAAGATAATCAGCATCCAAAAGCAGAGAAGACTATGTGCATTCACGTATTTCTGCTTTTACCTCCTTCCTTTTCATACAGGAAGACTAAAACATGCATCAAAACATGCAGTAAAGGTCAGTCAATCAAAATCCTTCCTGCTTTGAAACCTTTTTGTAAAAGTCACTTAAGTTCCTACGCTCACAAAAAGTTTGTTCCATTACTTATCCTAGAGCTAAGTACATTATCTCCTGCACAAACATTTCTCTCTCTCTTAGCTCCAGAACTGCACTCCAACAGCCACACTTTAAACGAAATGACAATTACTTAGAATTTCTAAATACAGCCTTTTAAATATTCACCTTTACGCACCCATTGATTTGTCAAAGTAAAAGCCTTATGACCATTGTATCCGATTTTAATTTCAAGGTTTGTAACCCAGTGGGAAGAACCATTCCAAGCCTGGATTCCTAATTAAGCTATCAGGAACAAGAGGCAGCAAGGTTGGCAGGTGAGGCAAGATAAACAGCCCTCCCTAAGGCATTACTAAGTATAAGGTGCAGCCAAGTGAGCCTAATCCCGTAGGTGTGAATATCCTTGTATACCTAATGTCTGGAGTTACTGTACCTCAGAGCAGCAGCAAGAACCTTTATTTACTTATCAAAAGAAATAAGAATGTATTGCTTAAATCTCCCCATGGTTATTTCTTTTCGGTAGCAATAGTTGCTGCTCTTCCTCAGATCTTAGGAGTAACTTCCACCCGCAGGGCAGGCACAGGCCAGGAGTTGCCTGCAGCCCTTCTCTCACCCTGATAAGGGAAGCACAGAGCTCTGCTTCCAGCAGCCAGAGCCATTCAGTGCCTCAATGCCCACTGCCTGATGTGCACCAGGAGGTTCTGGATCCTCTTCTTTTGGTATCTCCCTGCTCCAAACAAGCACTGCTCCAAAATACTTTGTGAACCCGTAGCAGTACTATCACCGCTTGGCAACCTCTGGCTTGAATTTAAAACAGAACAATGTCTTTTACTAAAGCGACCAGTGGAGGTGGGGGGAGATAAGCTTGCAGGCATGCTGGCCTTTCTTTGGGTCTGAAGCAGCAGACTATCAGAAGCTGTTCATTCCAACCTGAAGCTGCACTTATATTCTCAAAACATTCATCCTTTTTCTATTGTATAAGCTGGTCCAATCAAAATACTATTTCTTCCTATACTACTTTTATTCCTACAACAAGGATGTGAGACCCAAACACCCCCCTGCAGGCTATGTGCTTCTTCCCTTGTGTTTCAGCCTGTCACCCTCCTCCAGGGCTCTGCCATACACCCACTATTTTGGTTGCTCTCCCTCACAATGGCCAGGGAGTCCAACTTCAGACACTTTATACATATTTTATTTTTCCAGGAGTGCTTCAAAGTTACTTTTAACTTAATTGAAACCTGTATGGCTTAGAGAACAATTGCACTCTGCCAGCATGGGTTGGTTCAACCTCCCCAGCAAAGCTGTCCTAAGAACTGAGCAACCCCTACAGACGTGTGCTACAGGCATCAAGGACTTCCAAGAAAAGCAGCAATGATTATCACAATCAACACCATTATTTTTTTTTTTAAAGCACCTTTTCCTCCCCGTAAGACGACGTGATTTTACAGCACATAACCCTCCTTTGCCAATCATTCATCTTCTGCCTGTATTCCCATTATTCCCTGAACATGTACCTATGCCATCGGATGATGAATCTGCTTAGCAACTGCTGGAATAAAAAGCCTTACAGGCTGAAGACAGCCCCATACATGAAGTACAACAGGGCCCCTGCCCCAAATCAGCCTGCAACCGATTTACCCCTGAAGACAACTAAGTGACAGATCGCTGACACAAGAGCTATGGTAGTTAATCAATCTTTGCAGTAAAATCAATCCGTAAAGGGGTACAGCCTGGAAATAACTGCTGCAAAGGAAACCTAATTTATCTCAACTTTAAGACAATTTTATAAAAATAATAGAAAAAAATACTTTTAGTCTTTGTTTCTTAAAAGGCACAGAAACGTGCGTCGTTCTCTTCAGTTGAAACTCACCACTTCCAATTACTTTACCAGCAATTTACCTCGGATCACTGGATTTTAAGTTAATCCCCTCTGAGTTCTCAGAGCATCTACAACGGCAACCGCTCTGCCTGTGAGCTGAACGGCCTTTTGGGAGATCTCTGCCTCTCTCTCAAACACTTTTTTGTTATAAAATATTATTAACTTAAAAAGCCAAGCGCCGCAAAGACAGTAAGGGATATGCAGTCTGCTCCGAAGCAGCAGCAAGGGGCCTAGCAATGAGGGCAGACTAATTTTATTAACTTCAGGGAAACTTCAAAAAGCTTCAGGGCTTTAATGCCAGACAGAGACGACCCCGAAAGTCAGTTTAAGTGCTGCATAAACAAAGGATTAGGGCAAGAAAAAGCTGAAGGCTCCTTGCATTTCTTGTTTATATTGTCATATGACCTAGTGGGAGTGGGAGAGGGCTGCCTCTCTGACTTTAATCCCCCGTGGTGTACAGTGGCGTTTCAGTTCACTGACCTACATTACGATAATATTTTTATAAATTTATGGGCAGAGGTGCAGCATCAAACTCACTTAAGGACTTTAGAAAAAGAAAAGGGGTAGGGGGGAAAAGAAATACCCAGAAGAGAACATTTTCTGGCTGGTGTAGTCTCCCCCTCTCCCTTAGGTTAGATCAGCAGCTTAGAGAGGGATTTCAAGTTCAAAGGGAACGTCTCTGTTACTCTTGTTTTATGGCTTAGACCAGAGGACACAATAGCACTGAGTTTATGAAATATCCCTTCCCACTTGGCTTTTGTGTTTGCAAGAGAAAAGTAAATAGCACTTTATAACCATAGGTGAAGTATGTGCATCTCTGGCATGTAACACTTTTGCTAATACCAAAAAGTTCACCGAAAAAAATAAAGCACCTCCTCACACTCCCCAGCCAAGCAGTACTTACATTGCAGTGTATCGCCTGCAAAACTGCAGTTAACGTTACATCTGTCAGCACAGTGTGAACCACAGCATAACTGTAAGGACAAATAACGATGGGATTTCCCTTTGAGCAAGGATAGAAGCTATACTGCCTACCCTGTGAAACCACCATTTTAAAGAAAACTAACTACTGTCATCTGAACACCCTTCTCAAACAATCCATATTTTGTGTGTGAGTAACACCATGTCTTAAAACAACCGAGAAAAAAATAAGGGGATCAGAACCAAAGCACACGCCTGCAAAGGGAACAGACCTGTGCCAGAGTGAACTGGGAAATAAAGACTTGAGACAGAAAAAGTAAAATATTATTCATATAATATAAACATATAGAAATAGCTAGAATAGATGGAACAAGAATAAGCTTAAGTTAAATCAGAAAAGATTATACTGCTTTCAATCAGATAGCAAAAGAAAATTATTTAAAAGTGATAAAAACAGGTCTGATGAAACTTAGTAAATTGAAAACATTATCCATTGAAACCAAAGCAGAAAACAGGAAAGGAAAAAGAACAAAGATGTAAGATTAAATCCGAAAATACCAGGTAGTATTACATTTTGTTCTTTAGAAGAAGTACACTTGAGACATCTTCATCATGATCAGTAACAGCTCATTAGTTTCTAGAACACTTTCAGAACACTTTCCATTTCTGCATCAGACACAGGAATGTTTTGGAGGCTGCAAATTTCTGCTCTCCCTCTGTAAAACGTGGGTTTGTGCGTTTAGGGAATGGCTGCACATGAGGCCGCAAAAGGGCAAAGCTGAAAGGAACTGACAGGATTTCAGTGACAACTGAATTTGCAGCTTTTTTAATTCTCCAAAGACTGTTCTTGCTTTTAATTCTTTACCAAGACCTAGGTGAAGGTCTTGGCACAAATAAAGATTCGGTCAGTTACGTTGTTTCCTCAAGAGCTTACATCAGTGTGAAAGAATTAGAGGCTTTTCTTTCTGGAATTCCCTCTGGCACCACAGGCCTGTAGCTGTGTGCAGGGCTCCCTCTGAAGACCTTCTTCTCATCATCTTCCAAGCAAACAAACCGAACTTCTGCCTTTGAACACACATCCAGGGTGCAAGAGAAGGAAAGTTCATCTCCTTCAGCACTTCACGTCTCATTACTGATGCTTTAACAGAGCAGGAACCCACCACAGGGCCATTAGCTTTAGCTTTCAGATGTTTGCCCCTTCTCTCCAAAGCCAATGTTTCTTGGATGCAAGAGATATCTTCCTTTCTTTGTCTTTCTTTCTCTGTAGAAGTGCAACAGCATTTGAGAATTTCTAAGAGCCAAAAAAACCAAACAAAAAAAACACCCTTGCTTTTCCGGAGCATTTTCCCATCACTGTAACCTGGTTAAAAGCAGCACAGTAGTAAAAAGGATTCTTCATTATTGAGCCATGTAAACAAGGCCTGAGCTTTAAAAGCTCTGTGCCAGTTCAAGTCTCCAGCCACGCACGGGTAGAAACAGAGCACTAATATGCTTATGTGCACCTTTACAGTGCAAATTTCATTCAACTCTATTTAGATTTCTGAAAGGTAGAATTCCAGCAACAGGTGCTGAATTCCCAACATGGCCTAGTTAAGAACACATTCATTTCACCAAGAGAAGAAAACAGCTGAGAGCACGATCTTAATGTTCACAGCAACCTGGACTGTTTCCTTTATGTAAGAAAACAACATCATCAGGGAGGGAAAGAAGAGGCCTACACTGCTCAGGACTTCCAGCCCCAGAGAAAACAGCTCTGTCCGGAAGTTATGAGAAGACTGAAAACCTGTAATGCTCACAGACCAAGCAGGAAAGGGGTGAGCTGTTGTGCAGAAGTCCTGACCGTGGTTTGCAGGAAGGCCAAAGAAGCCTCCT